GTACAAATAAACAGTGTGATGTTTTTACTCAAATAGGTCCGTACTGAAAAAGAAGTCTTTCAGAAAAATAGCATAATTTTTTATTGCATACCTACTTCTCCAATATTCAAAAGTCGTTCTAAAATAGCTATGTTCCTTATCTTATACAATATGAATGGTAAAATTGGGAAAGGGTTCCCCAAGGATTTAAATGTTGGGTTTGCAGCTGCTAATGTTTGGGGCAATGATTTTGGCTGTGCTATATCAGCCGTGACCTCAGGGGGCGCGTTATAACCCTACCCGACTGTTTTATAGAAGGCGATGTTAGAATGGGCTTCTTCAATGGTATTTTTGTTCGGAGTGTTTTAGTATTTAAAAGGGCTTTTAAATAAACAGTACCTATCTTTAACAAAACATTTTTAAATGGCACTGAATATCTGAATATGAATTAATAAAAGAAAGATTACTTCCTCATCTTTTTGTGATATAAAAACAATTTTCGAAGGAAATAAAAACAAAACCGTCAGCTTAAACATTCACAAAGTTCACGCGACCATTAATAATGATTTTTAAATTAAGGCACTCCAGCATGAAAGGGTCCGTAATGTTAAAAAGGTACGCCTGGAAAGGTATCCAAAAATATTCGGAGGCCGTGGCATACTAAATTACTCCCTGATTTATTATGATTAATACGCTAATTTGCATAATCTCATAAATAAGTTTGGACAAAATACTAAACTGTTTAGTAAGGACACTAAAATAAATAAAAAATAAGAATGAAATATGTACGTGTCCACTGTCCCCGGGCGAATAAATAATAATCGCGTATATAAACACAGGCTAGGCACCAGCTGGCAGGCAGCCAATCCTGTGACGTCGTAGTGTTATGCAAGGATCGATCCTAGGAGCCGAGTGCCTAATGCTGGCACATTCACAAACAGCCGGCTACGTGATTCAGCATTAAGTTGGCACGCAAACAATAGCTACCTACTACCTACTACCTCTACATTCTACAACTACATTTACAGTCCAAAAACATGAGCTTCGTGAACACACCGAGTTACGATCTTCGGTAGCGATATTTCATGCTGACATCACTGTAAAGCAGCGCTGTAAGTAATGTTACGTTCGCGTGTACCACTCTTTGCTAGTCGTTATACGACAGGAGTTGCGAGAATCTGTGTCGGTACAAATCTGTACATAACAGCAACTATACGAATATAATTGAAAACACGGACAAAAGTATTTTATAAGGCAATAAAGCAATAAAGTTCGATAGTTAACCGGCTCGTAATGCCGTCATTAACTATGTAGAATGCGTCTCATGTGGCCTGTGGGATATGTTCAAACTAATAAAACGTAACAGCTAGTTCGGAACACCGAGTAATTACCCACTAAACGTTGTCGAACGACCACCATACCTTTTTGAATTCAGTAGGCTTTGTTAAGACATTTTATAGTCTATCTTTCATAAATTTGTGAATAAAAAGGCCTCACCTGAATTGTCTCCTAACAGAATATAAAAGTAATGCATAGAAATTGCTTTTCTTTCCTCCCTGGAGGTTACGTAAAATAACTTTCCCTCGCTCTATAGTTAATACCCCAGAGTATTCACGGGTCCATCGGTTATAAGCATATTATATGAATACTAACACACTTATGTAGATGAATTTTATATTTGCAAGTTTACGTGGAATAAATAAAACTGTTTCTGTTCACAAAATATTTACATTCATACGTACATTTTATTTCTATAAATAGAAGTCGTGACAAAATGGGAAGAAAAATACACCGTCCTTGTTTTCGAGAACAATGTAAAAACATTCAAAGATGATTTCTATCTTGTTCGAGGCTTACAGGAAATTGAAATGCTCATTCAGCAATTCCCGTCTCCACTGTGTTCAAGTATTGTCGAGCATCGATTTTATTCCCCTAAAATGTCCCCGTAAATGTGTGACATTATGTGTTTTACAGAAGCTCGTTAGCAAGTTATACCGTGGTCCTATCAGTTAATCTTAATACCAATCTATAATAACTAGGTTATAAATACATACACAGCTTACTAAATTATATCGCTCAATATAGTTTTCAATTATTTCAGTAATTTAACGATCAACGGCCACTATTGTCAGTAAACAAAATTAAACAGTTAACTGCACTTCGATTATAAAATGATACAATTACTTTACAATAATTAAACTTTACACGATATAAACATCCTTTCATTTTATTGTAAGCAAATTACCACATTAAAAGTAGTTAAAAGTTCCGGAGAACGGTAATAGGAACTATAAATCTTTTTCGTTTTTTTATAAATAAATCGTTAATTACAGTTTTAATTCGTAAAGGCAACAGTTCCGCCCTTCGAGGTCACAACCCGTCCTATATACCGACTCTAAGTTGACTGTGTCGTAATACTTTCAGCCTAGTCGCCACATATCTGGAGATTAATGAATGAATTTGTGTCTCGTAACGCATCTAAAATTATTATGAATTTTTTTTTAATAGGTATAAACGATTTTTGAATGAATACTCACAGATTATAGGGATAATTCCGATGGTGCGTGGTATCCGCTTATGAAGCACTGGTTGCGCGTGTAACTGTATGAAATGTGGGCTGTAGGGGTGCCTCCTGAAACACTGGCGAAAATCGGCGGGACGGCGCACGCCACACTCCCCTGATATTGATTTTGGGCGGCAACGTGCCCCCGCCATAGTAGTGACATCTACACCTCTCGCGGACAGTGAACAACAACCTTCTGCAGCTACACCCATTTACCGATAGATGGCGTTACAACCTTGACCGTAATGTTTAAACCTTTGTTGTTGTTTATATCCTGTCTGCGATCACACACCTAATTTAAACAACAATTATATTTTTAGTTTAATTGAAGTTTATTGATGACCTTAAATGTACATAAGTGATAAAATCTTTATTGTAGCTATTTCAACATCGTTGCTTTGTAATATGGGGTGTATTTATGTGCCAACGTGATCTTTACTTAAAACCCTAAAGCCTGCGTAGGTTCATAAAAGGTAATTTTATCACCTAACTTCTTGTCTATACTTTGGTTCTTAACGTAGCTATAAAACTGATGTGTATGGTTGGTCAAAAAGTATTAGACGCTTAGATATTGGTCCAATTTTTACCGACTTCATTGTAGTTTTATAGGTGCCTATTGTAAATGAAAAACTAAATAAAATATTTTATGCAGCTAGTCTATCAAAATTGCATAAAGTTTAAAATTGCCGCGTACCGAGTGAATAATATATCTATAGGTACTTATAATAATTATAAATTTGTAGAGAGATCAATAAAATTCTGTACATGAAATATATATTTCCAAAATAACTATCAGGGGGTGATTAGTGATCGATACTGATGGCAAAAATGCAATTAGTAAAATTCTTGTGTCTGTCTGTATAACCGTTATAGAAACAAAAACTTCTTGACGAATTTTAACGAAACTTGGTACAATTATTTTTCATATTCCTGAGTTAGTTATAGTATACTTTTCATCATGCTACAATCAGTAGGGGCAGAGAAGTGAAGGGAAATGTTGGGAAAACGAGTGAAGTTACCCCACTACGATGACGATGAAACTTGGTATGATTATACTTTAATATACTGGGTACTCTTTATTCCGAAAAATTATGTACAGAAAAAAACAAACTTAATTGTACAGCTCGATCCTTAGACACAGATACTATACCAAATGCAAAAATAAGTTTGTCGTGTGAATAGTTGTTAGGTTGCCCGCTGTAGACCATGTCCTGTAACTATAGGGCCGATGGTCGAAATTAGCTTGAACCACTATTATAAACGGAGTAAATTTGTCAGTATGTGTGTTTGCGAATTTGCGTGTTTGTGTGTATTTTGTTAATCAGTCACATCAAAATGGCTGAAGGGATCGGAAAATATGGTATGGATTATGCTCTGGAGTAATACATAGGCATTTAACCCTCGGGAACGCGGGTCAAGTAGCTGGAGAAGCTAGTACATAAATACAAATAATTAACTCGTCGAGTACCGGTTTTGTAGTTTTGTAGAACAATAGGTTGCGGTCACCGGTGACCGCTTGGTGTTTGACAGTTTAAATTACAAAACAGGTGGCGTAAACCAGAATTGTTTTAATAGACTATTTATAAATAGCAATAACAAAACATCGACAGATTTGTGAATAATAAAGAAAATAAATAAATAAACGACACCGTCTGCGGGCGAGCGCGTTGAATTCTAATGTGTGCGCTACGCCGCGCGCCGCCTAACTTCGTAGCAATAATATCGGTATAACAATAATTCTCGAAAACAATACGACATTTCTTTCTTTTCGCACTCAGAAACGTGCCAATTTAAGTTTTTATGAGACACATAAAACGTGGTTCACTTCAACTCCACCCAGCTTTTTCTGTCTTCGAGTTCGTATGCGAAAAGAAGAAATAAAAGGTTGGTTGGAATATTATCGGCGGGATCAGTGTGGTATACCTGTGGTGTGCAAGTGTGTGTGTTACGTATGGTGCGGTGCAGGTGTGGGCGTGTGTCGTAACGCCTGCCGCTGCCGGCCGCCGACGCGCGACGCAACGTTGCGTAGCAGCTGTGCGTTCACACTGGAGCCACCCTACTACTACGAGTTAAAACTATTTTTTGATTGAATGAAATCGATCAAGTATTTTATATAACTGATTAATATATATATTAACACACAAGCCATTAATATTTATTATATTCGTTACTACGCTCGAAGTATGGATGTCAATTAATACATAGTTTGGCACAATACAGTTACAATTCTTTATTTTATGGGTTTAAATATGTAGGACATATTTCTTTTGTGAATAACTGAATATACACAGTCAATCAAAAACCGATTATTCGCTAGTTTTTAATACTCTCTCTTTCCCAGATACCCTGTAATTCCGAGTATTTACAGTTAAAGACATAATGATAAAGAGACGACTGCGATCGTTGTGGTTGGTGTGAACGCCGCCGCTCACAGAAAGTAAAGTTGGTATGGTAGTGGCGGCGCAGTGTTGCTCCGTGCGGCGCGCAGACCGGTCCGCCATGTCGCGCTGACATCTCGCGCACCTCCTGTCAAACTGACAACTATCTCACTGACAACCATCGACTGACAAGTGAAACAATGTGGCCAGTGCTCAGCCTCCTCGCCGGCGCCTTCCTGGCGACCGCGCACGCACAGGTAACAAAGTGCCCCATACAACGTTAACACAACGCATTATCATACATCATGCACATTATTATCAACACTGTATGCACCATTACGAACCTATAGCTCTTTGTACTGCAACTTTACAAGACCATGGGCTCTTATTCCGCGCTAATAACTAAATGTCGTCATCACAACACAATAGAATAAGAAAAAATAATGATTAACGGACCTCTACGGTGACTTCAAAGTCACTTGGATTAATGGTTTATGAATCGCGTGTTGCACTTTTTTTTTTTTTTTTTTTAAATCGTTGTTATCAGGTTTGCCGAACTAATGCAAAGTCCTGGTCGGTAAAGCTCGGGTTATCTCACGTTATATCATTGGCGCAAAACTAGAACTGTACATAAATGTTACCTAATTGTCGTTGACCGACTAACGAAAGTACTTTAAATGCCGACCCATTAGCATAGCCTTGACAAAATTGATAGCTAGAGTTTTACTACAAACGAACTTTGTGTATCTTTTATTTAGTAACATTATCAAAGAGTTGCACTCATAGAATCATAAATTCGATTGCATAAACGTACGTAATTTATTCAGTTACCTAGTTCTCTGTAACTTAATTGGAAGTAATGTTAGATGATTCAGTGTAACAAGAAATCAAAGAGATTCGTTTGTGTGGTATAAATTAGTTCTGTCGTTACATTACGTAGGTAACTGTTGTAATAGTTGTTATGTACGTGAACGTAACTCATCGTGTAACCCACATCTCGTATCAAAGAGCTTCACACCATGGCTCTACGTGTTTAATCAAATGCCATGAGCAAATATGGGGCACAATGTATGTACGGATCGGGTATGTAAGTACGATGAGTGTGCTATGTAAATAAGTTGGAAGAAGGTTGATCAGCTGCCGGCTGTATAAATACCTGCCCTGTATACGCCTCTGCTTTAAAACTATTTTTATTATTATCTTTGTCATTATAAGTACTACAACGTCCTTCAATATATTTCATTGAATATTTATAAATAAAACCTAATTAATTCTTAGTTAAATATTGTTTAACGAATACTTATGCTTTGTGTAAATATTAGTATGACACATTCTTTGCTATATACCTTATTAATAATAGATTAAAGTCCATAGTCTAATCCGGTCCAGATCTTAATTTAGCTAAACAATACGTATGTCGTATCTCTACACGTAAAAAATTGAGTTATTATAGTATTCTATTTTCTATTGGAATGACGTTACTTACTACTATCGAATAATAATAATAATAAGAAGATATATGATCTAATAAATTAAATTGTGAATTAAGAATCAGATCTGAAAATTGAATGGGTACAATCTGAAAGTAGGACCTGCACAGATTTGATTCAACCTTTGTATTAAACTCAAAACGAGTCAGTCGGTTAAAAAATCTATACAATGACGTATCAATAACATTAAGCCCCGTACTATAAAAGGAACGCTGCAGGTGGCTAATTGGTTCGAAACTAAGGAAAAGGATATCTAATACCAAGAAATATTTTAACTAAAATCGCCCGACGTCGCCACGACCGCGCACGCTGCTCATGAGGAAGAACCCCTCTGTGGTTCGAAACTAGTAGAGCTTTTCTCAGTACATTCAAGTGAGTAACCCGCGATTTCAGTTAATTTAGTATGTCTCACGATAGTCATTATAAAAACAAGAAGTATTTAACGAACACACAAAATGTTGCATGAATAACCGAAAATATTCTCAATAGAATAACTAAAATACAGAAATGAAAATCGTGTTGATATCATACTCACTTATCAGACACATATCTATCTACAGTTTTCACTTCCAGTGTTAACTACCAAATGAAAAGTTATTCGTATAATGAATAACTGTTGGTTGGTTTATCTAAATAGCTTATCCATATTTCACATACGCCAATTATAAAATTAATGTATTATGTATTTAATTCAAATGTCACCGAAATACGCATACAGTCACCGAGCGAAATTAGCGGAAATTAAGTCCTACATTAACACAAAATGTTAATACATTATTGTTTCCTGTAAAGCTTATAAATAATCCTATGAATATGCATATGTTGTGTAGTTTAGTGAGCGAAATAAGACAAAATCGATAGTTGATGTAAAACCTAGAAGTGGTCAGTCAACAAGAGACGTTCAACTATTATGCGTAACATTTTTGGTATTACAGCACTCACATCGACTGTTGATGAAGACTATTGAAGACCAATTAGTGCAGCTGTAGACACATTCCAGTTGATAATGAGCAAGTCTAATAAACTCTAGCTCTACACTATTCATAGGATTAAAAACACCTAACCGATTTTTTTAACCATTATTGAACTAAGCTCTGCTTAATTGATATTTTGGTGTAAACAGATATGTAAGTACTTGATATGTAAAAACCTAACTCAGAGGACGCACCATACTAATATTAAAGTAAGCTTTTATATTTTTACGAATAAATACAAATTCTAGAGCACTCCTCCATTTTGATTTCATACTCCAACCTATAAATAGCATTCTGAAACTTGATCTTAAACGAATAACGAGGGATTGAATACCAACGATCCTTTTTGAAATAGAACCAGCAAATTATATTTCGATATTAAGCCATTGTATCAAATTACCCATTCTCCAAAGTCCTCTCAGTTTTCAACCTCAGACAATCGGTTTTCTTAATAATAGATCATAATAGTGCACTGGACACCAAATTACACAATAGTGGAGTACGAGTTTTGCATTAGCAACTGGTCATAACCTAGTTAAACTAGTAGTTAAGCGAGCACAATACCTTTTGTAACTTTAAACTGTGTTTTACATAGTACTTTGTAAACGATACTACTGTATTGGGTTAAAAATAAATGATATAAGTCTTTTTGTATGCATTTGATGTTATAGAGATATTTTGCTGTAGAGGTCTCTATACATATTATTATATAAAAATCAATTGCTGTTCGTTAGTCTCACTAAACCTAGAAAACGGCTAGACCAAATTGGCAAATTTTATTTTTAAATTATTTGTGGAAGTCCGAGATATGTATAAAGGTGAGGAAAAAAAATTGATGTGGTACGAAGTCTGTCGGGACAAGCAGTTGGTTAATAAAAAACCAAAGGAACACACATCATAAATAATCTAGTTTTAAAATTCTTGCAAGAACGTATACCTTCTATTATGAATATAGTGAACAAATCTAGGACTTATTGTACAGTGAACGACATTTCATAAACTTAAATATAACCTTGATTTAGGCATAATTGGAGTTAAATACCATCGGCGCTGATACCAATTTAATTGACGTGAATTAAGTGGAATATATGGGCCCAACTACTTCATAAAACATGCATTGGTCCATAATTAAACATCTTATAAGTACTTGACTATACTGAAGGAACCCTGCCACCAATTTAGGCCATATTAGGTTCTGCATGGCACGCCAATGCCAGGCGTCTGGCAGCGGCGCGGGCGCAAGGTCATAACGGCCTACGCATCCCACACGCCTCGCAAGCTGCTTGATAAAACTTTTGACTTTTAAACACTACAAATTACTGCCCTTTCCTGTAGCATTTAACTGGAACGTGCTTTTATTTTTTGTTTTAGTGTATATATTTTTTTCACCTTTTTAGAAGACTCGTTCTGTACATAATCGTGTTTACAATACAAATATTTCGCACTGAAAAAACACGCAACACATGCCAAAAATTTTAAGTGATACCAGGATAACATAATTTCGTAGGAAAATTCTTACCTACTAACTACATGAACCTCCCAGTCTTTCATTTGTTTTGCATTTAATCAATCTTTGTGTACCAATGTGCTTTCAAGTGTGTGCCTAATAGGACATTGATACACAAAGCTCAAGTTAAACGCCTAGAGGTACCAATACACGCTGTAGGCGCTGCATACCAAAACTACGATTGTTCATTCATTCAAGGAAAACGAACGGTGACTCAAATCGCAATATTGACTCATATGACGAACGTAACATGTACAATGTACATACTTACATAAATTAATTCTTATACTGAATCATTATATTTTTACAAGACCATATTTATTTTAACAAACGTGCTCTAACTATGCAGTACTAAATATAACAATGAATAAAATTCCGTAGTTAAATGAACATCACACTTGTTCGCTACAATATATTAACTGACGTAGTGCCTTATTACCACTTTTTTATACAATTTATCCCAAATTACTTAAAAAGTAAATTTGTCTCTTTTGCCCCATCGAGGAACAGATAGAACCCAACACTTTCTCAAGGTCTAATTGGTAGGCAGTCAGCAGACGACCTAAAAAAGTTGATAGCTATTTAGGATTGACTTGTAGTTGTAATAAAATATGCCTTACTTACTTATTTCCAACTTACAAATTAAATCAAAACAATTTCGATGGATTGAATGACTTTCTTCCTATAAATTCTAAGTATAGTTTCTACGTCATCACCATTTTTTCTGTGTCAATCACAATAGCACGAATCATAGTAATGGGACTGTTTAGATCAGCTGACATTACTTACCCACATTCCAGTTTGCGGTTTTCTCAAATAAAATATCGTAAAGTAGTTCATAGGATTTCTAATAGATTTTAGACAACCAAATAATGATGATAACATTAATAACACAGCAATTTAACCTTCAAGCGGGCGCGCGGTCTTTTGTAACAGGAGCGGGCGCGCGTAATCGAATAGACCTATGGGATGAATAAGACCAAGAAAGCAATAATTATGGGATAATCATTTTTAATTTGTACTATGATACAATATCATTGTCTTTAAAAAGAAATTTGTCACAACAAGTAATTAAAATTATAAAAAAGAAGCAATTATTAAGTCACCTAAAGTAACTCAAATATTCTTCGGATCAAAATAAAAATTAAGACCCGTTTACATATGTTAGGTTGGTTTATATACGTAGACTATAAAATAAATAAAAAGTAAGGATAAAACTCTAAAAACTCATTAATTTTGATTTTATTTTCGTCTGAGTCAGTATTCTAGTAATTTTTCAGATTTTG